GGGGCGGGGGGCGGGGGCGGGGCAAAGATGGCGGGGAGACAGAGCCCGCCCCGCCACGCTCCGTCAGCCTGATTGGACGCTTTTCCGGAGGCGGCGCTGATTGGATGGAGCTTGGGTCTCAGCACTGAGATCCTGATTGACAGGAGAATCCACCAACCAATGGGAGAATAAAGAACAATTCAGACTCCAAGACTTGGCTCAGTGGGTGAAGGCACCAGAAGTTCGAAATTCCATCTCCAGAACCCACGTTGGGGGAGGATAAAACCTATACCTGCAACTTGTCCTTTGACATCCTCCATCACGCCATGGCACGTTCACGATACACATAAACACACACGCACACAGAATGAATCATTGTAAAAGAAAATAATGCAAGTTCTTATCTCCCAGTATTTTAAGGAAGGATTTCCACTGGGAAATCCTAGGCCTGTTGAAAATTTTCACATCCTTGTGCATGTTCACTGCATCAGCTTAAAAATTATTCATAAATAAGCTGGGCATGGTGGTACACACCTTTAGTCTCAGCACTTGGGAGGCAGAGGCAGGCGGATCTCTGTGAGTTCAAGGTCAGCCTGGACTACAAAGTGAGTTCCAGGCCAGCTGGGGCTACAGGGAGACCCTGTCTCAAAAAGACCAAAAAAAATTATTCATAAATATATATGTCATTCAAAGTGGAAATAAGCCAGTTGTGGTAATGGACGCCTTTAATCCCAGCACTCAGGAGGCTGGTGAATGTCTGGAGTTTCAGGCCAGCCAGAGCTGCATAGTGACAACACCACCTCCCCTCTCCAAATCAAATCAAAAAGTGGAAATAATATCAAAGCCTTGTCTTGGCATTTCCTGTTTAATTTTCTAAGGATGCTATGTGTCTACACAGGGTGAACTTTGAAATAGGAAGGAACGCATTTCTCCAAATTCAAATGACAGTTCAAACTATAAGAATTTCTTTTTGGTCTGCAAAGCCACATCATTTCCAGGTTCCTTGATGTCTGTGTCCTCACTATGTTTTTCCCAGCAGCAATGAGTCACCCCAAGAGAAGGCAAGGCTGACAATCTCTGGGTTCTGAGACACCAGAGATTGTGGGACCATAGCCAAAGATGGAAAAAAGATGGCGCTGGAGACTGTCCCCAACTCTCTGTTAGCCTTGTTGGACAATCCTACAACAGTGCCTCCAACTGATCCAAAATTCAGTTCCCATCCTCTCATATTTTGAGTGAGAGGAGATTGAACCAACTCATGGAAACTGAAGTAACAAGCTGGGGTCTGCTGGATGGATCAGTGGGTGGAGGCACTTGCCACCAAGGTGGCAACCTGAGTTCAATCACCAGATTCCACATGTTGGAAGGAGAAAAATGAATTGCCCCAGGTTGTCCTGTCGCCTCCTTTTGTGCAATGTAGCATATGTATACATGCACACACCTCAGCACAAACACAAAATAATTAGAAGTGGGTACCTGAATGTTTTTTAAGGCAGGCTTTCCTCTGGGGGATTCCAACAGCTGTTGAATATTTTCACTTAAGTGTATCTATGGAGGCAACATCCTAAAAATTAGGTGTAATTGGGCAGGAGAGCTGGTCCAGCTGTTAAAAGCTCAGACTCACAACCAAAAAGACAAGAATTAGGTATAAATACACATCTTCTGTAGGAGAGGAAGTGCCAGGCCTAATCACAGGCTGCACTAGGGAGCACAGCTTCTGCCTTGAGAGCACAACCCGTGCTTCTGCAAAATAGCCAACCTACAATCTGCCCAGATGAGGGGATCTATCAGGAAGCGACACACCAACTTATGGGACACTGGGGGCAGGGTATTTAAGGCTTGCACTTCCCATCAATAAACGAGTCTGCAGCACCTTGCCTAGTGCCTGCTCTCACCCGACTCCCAGAGTCTGTGTGTTGATTCTGCACCACTCACCCCCACCTCGGCCAGAACCCTCGTTCACTGCAGTCCCTTGTGGACTGGACCTGTGAGGAAACCTGCAACAGCTGGCACCTGAACAAGGTTCCTGGCCCCCTGGCATTGGCGACGCCCCCAACTTTGGTTCATTCAGTTAGTAGGCCCCAGGTTTTGTCTGTCCATTCGGCTGCTTGGGGGTGAGCGACTGGCCCCCTCCTCTGTCCCCTCTACCCTGTTTGTCATATTTGTTATTAAATCAGGAAGGCACACTCTGTCGCATGGTCCTGAAGCCCATGTTGGCACCTTTCCCTTCTTGGCTCATCCTAGTGAGTTCACATAAGGGCTGATCCACCCTGAACTCAGAGCCCAGGCTTCGGGTCATCCTGGTGCCTGTCCTGGAGACACCGTGTGAGCATATGGCTGAAGGGGTCATGGCCTTCAGAAGTCCCTCACTAAGCACAAGACATTTGGATCTGATACACCTTTTCATGTTGGGGCGGTTTACGTCCGAGTGGCTCACGGTCCTTGTTTGCTTCATTTGTGCCCTCTTGGTAGTCGCCCTTGTCTTTTACTTTTGTGGTGAGTTTCCCTTTATGGGACCTACCCATGATGGGCAACTTACCACCACAGTGCAAGGAGCCACAAATGGCAGTGCTAAAATCACTCCTTAGTACTCAGGGACTGAAAGTTAAACCAAAAGATATTGAAAATTTCTGGGATGAAGCCACTAACTTGGCCCCTTGGGTCTCTCCCAAGAATATGTGGGATCCTGACCTCTGGATGTGGGTCCTTTTCTTGGCTCACAATAGGGAAAATAGGGAAGTAGGATTGGGAGTCGTTCCCCCTGCCTCGTTTGTTCTGATCTTTTTAGCTATCATTGCCAGCCTTAAGTCCTCCTCCCCTGAAGAAGTCATTTCAGCCCACAATAAGCATTGTCAGGATCAGGCCAGTGTAGACCCTGCCATTACTTCAACCCCCAGTGACCTTGATATGGGAACCAGCCCTGAGGTTGATCCAGATGAGAAAGGGGACCCCTTGCCTCTACCTCAGACCCCGCTTTCAATGTCACAACAATCAGAGATACCACCATCCCAGTATCCCTGGAAGGAACTGCGTTCTGCCTGCTACGATGCACCTTCTGCTCATTATACCCCCCGCATGGCCTGCCCTCCCCTTACTACTCCTTGCCGGCCATTGTCCACCTTTTTGGTTAATGTCTGCCCAAACGCTGTGCAACAGCCATGGGTGCCCACTGCTCTCACAGACCTTGCACTCATCTGCAAAGCTACCAATGAATCAGGCCCTGATTCCCCATATTTTGACCAAGTCCTCTTCCAATGGGCTGTGCAGTTACAGAACCATTACGACTGGTATAACTTATTAAAGGCAGTTTTGGAGCCCTCAGTCTTCCTGAGCTGGCATTCAGCTTACAACAATCAGGCTGAAAATCAGGCACGTCTCAACCTTCAATATGGCCTTAATATTACTCTGGATATGCTCACAGGATGTGGACAATATATTGACCCCATTTCCCAGTCCATTATTGGCCTTCATGTTTACTACCAACAAGTTAGTGACCTGGCCTTTAAGGCCCTTAGATGTTGCTCTCCCAATGACCCATAGGCATTCTTCCGCAATTTGATTCAGCAGCCAGGGGAGTTCTTCATGGACTTCCTCACCCATGTAACAGGGCAGTGGAATGGAGGGTGGAGTCTGGACCCACCTGCAATATGCTTATCAAACAACTGGCCTGGGAGGGCCTAAATACTCCTACTCACAATGCTATTGCACCTGTCCACAATGATGATATTCATAAATGGGTATTTGCCACTAGGGACCTAAACCCCAGGACAGGGCCCATCGAGGCCCTGACCACCTCCTTAGAGGCGCTCTTATTACAAGGAAGGCCCACCCCTCTGATTCAAAAGATGGCTGTTGGGACTGCGGGAGGACAGGACACCTCTGCAGGGACTGCCCAAACAGTGGAGCTCATCCCAAGACCCGCTGCCCCAAGTGCAGAAAGGGATTTCATTGGGCAAAAGATTGTAAGTCACGGCCCCAATCGGACTTAGCTCCTTTAAACTCCACCTGGGGTGCCCCTCAGCCCTGCAAGTAAGAGGGGGAACGAGACAGATTTTATGGACCCTTCTGATTCTTAATCACTCCCCCCTAATGACCTTATTCCTGGATAGGATCACTGTGAAGGGCCTAGTGAACATGGGAGCTGATATTACCATCATCACCAAGAACGAGTCTCTTAGGTTCCCCCATTGGAAATATCGGCCTGGCCTGCCCATTAAGGGAGTGGGGGCAGCCAGAACACAAAGCTGGTCATCTGCCCAGTACACTGGAAGGACTTAGATGGGAGTAAGGGCACATTCACTCCCATAGTGGCTGATGTCCCCCGCAACTTGTGGGGTCAAGATGTACTGGAAGACATGGGTGTGGTTCTTACCGCAGACGATCAGGCCTTTTATGATGATGTCATAGCCCATGATAAACTTGGCCTTTCTGGGGGAAATTGGAGCCCTGACCAGCACCCCCAATTCTAAGGGCCACTGCCCTCCCTGGGAAATCCCCTAAGGAGTCTCCCACACCGATTGCACTTACCTGGCTCTCGACAGATACGATCTGGCTGGAGCAGTGGCCTATTATAGAACCTAAATTGTCTATCCTCACAAATTTGGTCCAGGAACAGCTGGACCTCGGACATTTGGAACCATCCACTAGTAAATATAATACTCCAATATTTGTTATAAAAAAGAAAAATTGCCATTTTAGATTGCTTCAGGACTTATGTGCCATTCATGATCAAATGGAAAGAATGGGCTTGACACAGACCAGCTTGCCTCACCCTGGTGCTATTCCTCCTTCTTATTACATCATAACACTTGATATTAAAGATTTCTTCTTCTCAATTCCACTTGTCTCCCAAGATCATGATCAGTTTGCCTTTATGGTTTGGGAACCAAACTTCCACAAGCCGGCCCTCAGATAACAATGGAAAGTCCTTCCCCAGGGAATGAAAAACAGTCCTACTATTTGTCAGCTTTTTGTCTCACGAGCCACTTCAACCATCCCTCATGGTGTACAATTTATTCACTATATGGATGACATTCTGTTGTCCACCCTAACCCACAATTTCTCCACAAGGTAACCAGGGACTTACTCTCCCACCTATCATCCCTTGGCTTGTCTGTCACCTTAGATAAGCTACAGGAGGTGCCTCCTTATGCCTTTTTGGGGCATACCGTTTTGGCTGGTGTATGCCCTATGGCCCCTGCCTTTAATTAAAAGCTGGTCTATACACTAGCTGGTTATCAACAACTCTGTGGCACAATAAATTGGCTTAAACCATTCTTGCCCATTCCCTCAGAGGAACTGAGGGTGCTGTTTTGTCTTTTGGAGGGCTGCACCTGCCCTTCAGCAAAGATTAACTTAACTCCCCCGGCCATTGCCTTATTGCAAAAGATCATTGAGTTACTCCCGTCAACAACCCTCGACAGGTATGAGCCCTTAAAATCCCTACAGGCTTTAGTGCTATTGACTTCTTCTGGATTCCTTGGTGCCCTTTGGCAGACTGGGCCACTTATCTGGGTCCATTTCTCATACCCAGAGCTCCAGCAGGTTTCCTCCAAGTTTGATCTGTCCTTTAACTTGGCAGTCAAGCTATGCACTCAGGCTCAAAGTACCTTCAATAGAGAACCTGACGCTATCGTGCTCCCCTTTCCCCTCCGTAGCCTACAGGCACTCTGGGCCAATTTCATAAGTTTTCAGACCATGATGTCAGGCTTCCCTGGCACCATTGACAATCACCTGCCTCAAGACAAAAGAATTCAGACCCTTCTCACATTGCCACTTGAAGTTAAACCCCACAGCACTCCTTCTTCTTCCCCAATTCCTCAAGTGACCATTGCCTTTCCAGATGCTAATAAGAGCAACTGTGGGGTCCTGATACATCGTCCTGGAAAAAAGGACATCACCAAGATCGTCCCTAACCCTGGCTCTGTCCATTTGGGAGAACTTCTTGCTATACTTAGAGCTTTAGCAGAATGCCAGGACGAACCCCTAAATCTCTTTTCTGATAGCCCCTATGCTGTTCAGGTCACTAAAGTCCTCGCTTTTTCTCATGTTAAAAACTCCTCCACCCCACTCCACCTCACTAAGGTCAAGCTACAGGAATGCTTACAAAATTAAAGTTACCCGTGGTATATCTCACATCCTAGCTTGGGGGAATGCCGCCACAGATGCCCTGATCATGACAATCCAGTCTAGCCCATTAGAACAAGCAAGAGCTTTACATCAACAATTCCACCTGTCCCCTCAGAATATTCATAAACTCCTCCCAGAAATCCCCATGTCCCAATGCAAGCACCTAGTCCCCTCATGTGCTACCTGTGCCCTGCTTATGCCTCTTGGGCCCCTTAACAGGGGAGGAGTGAATCCCTGTGGTTTGATACCCAATACCATTTGGCAGATGGACATGACTCACTACCCCCCTTTTTGGGAAATTGAGATTCATTCATGTTATAGTTGACACATGCTCTTCCCTTACTTATGCTTTAGTGTTCTCAGGGGAAAAGACTATACATGCCATTAAAGCTATAAAGTCTGCCATGTTAATCATGGGCATACCCTGGGTGCTTAAGACTGATAATGGGCCCACTTATTCCTCTCAAGAATTCAATAAATTTGTTCCCTCCTGGGGAATCAAACACACTTTTCTATTCCCTATAACCCGCAAGGACAAGTCATTGTCGAAAGGACCAACAGGACACTAAAGTCCCTGCTGGCTAAAATCCCCTCAGCTGAGGCCAAATGCAACCCTCACCTGGCTCTTACTGAGGCCTTGTTCCACCTTAATTTCCTCATGTTTGACGATGGGGGTCTCAGTCCAGCATACAAACATTGGTCCTTCTTGCCTTGGGCTATGCCCCGGCCACTAGTTTGGTGGAGGGATCCGATTTCATCCCTGTGGCAGAAACCAGCCCCCATCCTGACACGAGGATGAGGATATGCTTGTACTTTTCCACAGGACGCTACAACCCCCATCTGGATTCCATCGAGATACACCCGGCCAGCTATGGAAACCCATCTAGAGACTGGGCCTGACTGCGAGTTTGATAAGCCATGATGTCCTTTTCTGGCTTCATTATCTTTGACACCCTTTTGTCCTTTGGCTGTGCTTTTTCCCAGGCTTCAGATCTTTGGGCACTGGTCCCCTTACCACCTCTGATCTTCCCTGTAGATGAACGGTCACCTGATTTCCCAGTTCTCTTTACTACTAATGAATCCCTAGGTCTCCCCACCATGGAATTGATTCACGTGTCTGTTCCAGAAATGGCACATGGTCCCTTGCAGGATCACTTTGCTTCAGCCCGGTCCTTAATCCCTCCTCCTCTAATGTCTTTTGCTGTCACTCCCTCTTTAACATCACAACAGGAGATTTTCATGGAAACTGAAGCCAGGGCTCCTTATGGGGCCTCAAAATTTGGTCTCCCTTAGTAAAAGACACTTCAGAGATTACAGTATCCTTTGTGCCCCCTGGAGCCACCCCCCCAAGGGTCAGGCATTCTCCATGGACCCGGTGCCCTCCCACCTATAAACTTCCCACCACATTGCACTTTCCTATTCCATGGGAACAATGCCTCCCGCTCACTCCTGGAAATATGCTTCTCTTTACTACGGATTATGATGGACGCCTGCAGGCTTCCTCCCTGGCAGCCTGGAGGCTAATGGCCTTGTCTCTACAAAACCTTACTCCTATGTCTACCCTGACCCCAGGCATAAAGACACTGTCAGGGGTCCCTGGGATCTCTGCGGCCTGCAGCTTGCCTGGATTTGCGTCCTCTTTTTTGTATTAGGTGGAGCCATCTTTAATGGTACATATACGGGCGATAACTCAGACACGGGTTCCTTGGGTGTCGCAGACCCAACTTGGACACCTAATGAAGTCTCTGCTAACGTCTGTTTTTCGTTCTCCTTACCCATTTGTGTTCATCCTCCGTTTGCTCTGCTTTTTGCTAATGTCACGAGCGACCTGGAGGATACACTTAACTGCTCACTCACTAACTGCACTCTCTTGGCCTGCTGGATTTTCCCCACCTCTCTCATTCTCCTGTAGCAATCTGGATTCCCGTTCCCAATGCCACTCACTTCCATGTTATCACCCTCATGGAACAGATGGCTTTCCAACCCTTCCCTCGGGTCAAGAGAGATTTTGGTATTACCATTGCAATCGTCACTGCCATTATCCTTTCCTTGGGGGCTGCAGCCACTGCTGCTGTTGCTGTCACTCAATCTTCCACTACGGTGGAAACACTCAATGAGGTCGTATCCAAAACCTCTGCTGCCCTACACACTCAATCTCTTATTAATCAACACCTCTTCCAGGCCATTTCTGTCATCCAACAACAGGTAGACCTCTTCGTGGAAGAGATGGCAATCATCAAACAGATGATGCTAATGGCCTGTGACCTATGGTTCAAAGTCCTGTGTCTTACACCTTACAAAGCAGATAACATCGCTAGGGCCAGGATAGAACTCTCACAGTACATCCATGGCCCCTGGAGCCAAAAGTTTCTCAACTACTCCACCTTGATCACTGACCAGATCATCTCCCTAAATTATACATGGGCTCAGACATTAGATATAAACTCTGGGTTCCTTGACAAACTTTGGTTGAACTTAAAAGCTTTGTTTGATCCTTCACGGATTGTTACTTATTTGCTCTTGGGTATTATAGTCTTAGTTCTTTTCTTGATCATAAAATGCCTTGTTCTACACTTCTGCAGACAAAACCAAATTACTTGGTGTATCAGGTTCTCAAAATGCTTGAGGATCCAGACTTCAACCGCCCCCCCCCCAGGTCCGGCAGGTCTGGCTTGCTGACATCCAACAAGTGGCTGTGTAATTTCTTGCCCTCCTCCTCCCTCACATGGTCATGCCAGAGGTCATACCCTTCAAGGGCTGGTAGTCAATGACGGGTAAGATCCTGATGGTCAGGATGACCTAAGACAGGCACAGTCCATCAAGCTGAGTGTCCTCTGAGGTGGGGTCAACTATGTCGAGGCAAAGAACCTTGGCTCCCAAGGGGATGGATATGTAAGAGAGGAAGTTCCAGGCCTAAGCACAGGCTGCACTAGGGAGCACAGCTTCCACTTTGAGAGCACAGCCCACGCTTCTCCAAAATAGCCAGCCTACAATATGCCTGGATGAGGGGATCTATCAGGAAGTGACACACCAACTTATGGGACACTGGGGGCAGAGAGAGAGGTATATAAGGCTTCAACTTCCCAGCAATGAATGAGTCTGCAGCACCTCACCTAGTTCCTGCTCTCACCTGACTCCCAGAATCTGTGTGTTGATTCCACACCACTCACCCCCACCTTGGCCAGAACCCTCATTCCCTGCAGTCCCTCATGGGTTGGACCCACGAGGAAACCTGTAATATTCTTCAAAGTGGACATAATAATATCACAAAAATGGAAAATTT